CATAGCCCCACCCAGTGGCCTAAGAAATCATTTTCAGGGCCAGGGATGAATTATGCCATTTAGGATTTAACTAATCATTTACATTATCCAGCTTCTGATCTTAAATATACTTCCTTCCTAAAGATCTTGCATTCTTTCCATAATAATTTGTATGAGAGGTTAAACAATAGACTTCTGGGAAGGCAAATTCTGTGTGAAATACAATTAAATAATTAAAGTAGCCTTTGGTAAACACATTAATTTGTTCGCCATATTGAAACAACACGTCTTTCCTTTTCAGGGTAAGTTAAAAAAAGGTTCATAGCTAGTTATTATATTGTAAAGGGACATTGACCAATTATTGTATTCTACATATTTTTCAAGGATTAGAACAGTTAGATATAATATATAAAATATAACCATGTACTCCTGATGCAGCTCCTGCCTTTCCCTAAACAGTTTACCTGATATTATCCCGTCTTCTCACATGACAGCTTGCTGATTACAACCTTTTGCTTATCAACCTACACATCTGAGGGACTCGTTCAGTGTCTCCTCTATTACAGACAACACCCCCCTTCTAATATTCCACTCACATCAGCATTGCTAATAAACCTGCAGCTAGACTATACTGTTCATGGACACATTTATTTGAACTGCAGACTATATTAGAAAAGCGGATTGTTTGTATTTGCACACTTGTAGTTGCACAATAGTATCCTGCATTACATTTGTTACATTATATTTGTTACCGGAAATTTGTATTTCCACTTTTTTTTTATTTCTTGTGTCTTCATTTATCTTATGTACATTGCCTTGTGTTTTTTATGCTGCTGCAACGCAAACATTTCCCAAATTGGGATCAATAAAGTACCTATCTATCTATCTATCTATCTATTTGTCTTTGTGTTTTTATTCCTTTTTTGTATCGTGTGCAATACTGTTTGGATGTTTTCCATCCAACAACTTCATATTTATGATAGAGACACTATAGGGCTGTGCTATTTCAAAGTACTGCTCTCTAGACCAAACTTCAAAGAAGCAAGACACTGCCCAACCTCCAACAACACTACAAAAATAAAGACGCAAGGTCAGGTGCAACTGTGGCTGTTATTGCACGTGTCTGTTTGAAGGCTTAGGATGGATCAATAGCCATCAGGTGCAAGAGATTCAAGTGAGACACCCACCCCATTGTGGAATCCTCTTAAAGCTTCTGATAGTTCAAGTAATCTGGGGGAGAGGCAATGTGTAAGCTAATCTATGTGCGTATGTGTGTGTTTAAGTGTTTGCGTCAAGTCCATGTGTCTTGTCTCCTCCCACAATGGCTGGCTTCCAAAGTACGTACATCACTGAATTTGGATGCAGAGACATTAAGGTAGAGAGAGGTTGAGAGAGAGAGAGAGAGAGAGAGAGAGAGAGAGAGAGAGAGAGAGAGAGAGAGAGAGAGAGAGAGAGAGAGAGTTCACTAACTGATAAAGCTTAACACTGCTCTAATTACTACCTATAGGCACTGAAATCAGCTCTACTGCAACATCAAATCTAGTGGTGAAAGAAAGATCAAATCAAAATGTAAAACTATGGAACTAATGATGATTTATCACAACTTAGGCCTTATTTTTAGAGTTCTAATACCATTGTGTTGCTGCGGTCAGAAAATACAGCATTAACTAAAAACATATTCAGTCAGATGATCACACAGCCAACACTTGCCAAAAGTAAAAATTCCCTAAATGTCGGTAAGAATCCCACTTCACACAGGAAATATGGGTGTGTGCACACGTATGTAGTGTAGGTCTTGGTAACCATTTTTGCTTTGTTTTCTCTTCCAGATAGTTTTGTCTGACTTTGGAGGAATGTTTCAAACCTCTAGGATCTGATTAGTTGTGTTCCTGAGTTTGTAACGATTTTCCGTAGACACCACATTTCAGTAATTTACTTGGTGAGGGAAATAGCTTTGGAAACACTGTATGTAGCAAAGCCTATCTCAAGCTAAGTGAAATGAGAAAGAGAGAAAGTAAGAGAGACATGATGGCAGAAATAAAGATAGAAAAGCTAAGACAACAGGAGAGGCCTTCCCTGCTGGTTAACCGACACCTATGTATACAATAAATATTGAGATGGTAAGATAGGGTCAGATAAAGAGTTACAGATCTAGGAGACAATCAAACACAAGCTGATTGGAGACATAACAGATGAGATTCAACAACACTTTAAAAGGCCTGATGTTGAATATGAAATGGATATTGAATTTCAAAGACACGCAGGATTCAACAGGCAGGAAGGGGAGAGCCTCCTCTAAAGTATGCCTGTGCTGCTCTCCTCATATAGAGTCAAATACTTCTCCGGTGATCAATAGCCAGCAGAAAGTGGTTGCTGGCCTTGATCCTAATGAGTGTAGGGTAAGAGCAGATTAGCTTGCACCTGAGCCCCTATTCTCCATCAGGCTACCTCGAAGTATCAGAATAAATCAAGGAAATGTCGGAGATATGGAGAAAGACATATCTGGATCACTGTTTTTCACATCTTGTTCATTGTTCATTGTGGGGATATCAGGCTTTTGTGGAACAGAAGACCACACATAAAACAACACAAAATACATTGTAGGGTGGGGACAAGTGGGTCCTTCAAAGAATGATGTGATTAGTGCTTTTGCTACTTTTAAATTACGATGGTTCTCATGGCAGTGAGGGATTGGCAGTAGACCTTTGGTTTCACAGCCAGTTCTTGCACAAAGAGTTCAGGGAAAGGTTAAGAACAGGAGACGATGAGAAGCTTAGTACGTGTTGCTAGCACTGTTTGTGTGTGTGTGTGCATGTGTGTGTGTATGCACACACGTGAGACAAGCCCCAGCCTCCATTGCAGTGAATTGATATCTGCTATAAATAGAAAACAACTAAGCCTTTGTTGTTCTATTTTCCTCTGCAGCCAAATTAAATAGGCTACGCTTATTTTTAAATCCAATCTATTTTGGAAGCTCATCTGTTAATTGAAAATGTTTAAACGTATGTTTATGGTTTGGTTATATTATGTCATACACAACAGACACAAATTATATCAAACACTTAACCTGGACAATACTGTAAAACAATCCCTTTTTTTCTAAAATACTGAAGCACATTTGCTTATGTCTACTCTTTCCATTTTACACCTGTTTTTAAAATAAATAAAATATTTGTAATGTTCACATCTCGTCTCAGTGCCTGACCTGGTTTGGTCTGACACTTCTGCAGGTCTGCATACAGAAAGAAAATAAATGTTACCGGTACACATACAGCTCGAACATCCAGCTGGCCATCAAATACAACTTTCAGCGTTTTTCCAAACACAGAGACTGCAACAAAGAGAGTCAATCACAGACACTCAGATTAAAACCAATATATCCCACACACACAGAGATGCCATCACCCGGTCAATCTAACACCTCATTCAAAGAAACAAAGGGATATTTGTAGAGCTGCCACCCATGATGATGAGTCTATTAACCCCAAGGCTTTTGGGTCAGACAACAACCTTTCCACTTCTGTCTCATCCCTACCAACTGCGTTCATGAATGAGCTACAGGACTTGGGAGCGGAGTTGTCTGCTCTCTGAAGGCCTTGTTCACTTCAGTTCAAGAAATGACCAAATCAGACGGCGGAGATTTATCTTAAGTGCTCCTCTATGTACCTTTTTTCCTGATGACAAATGGGACTTGGCCTTACATCCCCTTAAAGGACAAGCAGCAGTGATAAATGAGGACATTAGGAAATCTAATCATGGCAATGATGATGAGTATGTTCATTAACAGGTGAAGGTACAGTTTTAAACAAAGGGATTTGATTTGGATGCAGTTGTTGAGCAGAAAAAGCAAGTGGTAAGGCGCCATACAGTAAGAGGAATACAACCTGAGGGCAGCACGTGCTTTTTAACCAATGTGAACAAATCTGTGGTGCATTTGGTCCTGCAATTCTGTGTGTACTAAAAATGTAATAACGTGAGGACTGAAACTACAGTGGGCATGAAATTAGCTCGACTCCCGTGAGATACTGAAGATGGATCACATACCTGTGGGTGTGTGTGTGTGTGTGTCCCCATCGCTCAAACATGTAGTCAGTGTAGCTCTCGAGATAATTCCTTTACGACTATCATCACATTATCATAACACTGTCTAATGAACATAACCTTCCATGGGTAATTTTAATGACTCCTAGCCCTACATCTCTCATTTCCACTGGGTGACTGGACCATGTTAGTCCAATCAGTCAATGAAGATAAATGCTTAAGGAGTTGGATTCTTTGCCTTGATGATACACGTCTGTGCCACCATCAACTGTGTCTTGGTCTACTGCTGCACAAGGAAAGACCTGAAAGATCTGCAACAGCTGGTGAAGACCGTTCAGCGAGTTATGGGACCACAACATGACCTCTGAAGGATAGAGAAACCGAGAAACTGATCATTTTGCAGGGGTCTCTTAATTTCTTTCAGAGCTGTATGTAAGCGATTACTTATTGTCAAAAGTTTGATTGAAGCTGTAGCAAGGCAAACAGATTTGGTAACACTCTACAATCTAGAAAAATAAATAATCTAAAACCGAATAAACCACATTTTTTAACTTGTTTAAAATGTCAAATTTAAACAACCCCTCCAAGAATAATACTATGGAAACATAAAAAGGTATCGAAATCCATGTAAGAGATCAGCTGGGGCAACAGATGCCCCATTGTGTCGTAGACTGCTTTTCACTACAGACTGTTTCCATCCTCAGCAGCATTATGATTGAGGCTCATACTTTGTACTCGGCTCGCCTTAGCTGTAACAAATCTGGCCTCAGGGTGCTTAAGTCTGCATTTCCTCTCACTCATGCATACCAAGAGAAAAACTGGATACAATAGTGTTGAGTTACTGTATAACCTAGGATAGAAAGCTACATGCTGGCATCTACTGTTCATTTGTGGCACATACACCTTACAGTACACTCTACTAAAAAAAAAAGGAACAATTAATTATTAATGCAGATAATAAAACACAAAAACAGCCAACGTACATTTAGTGTTTTAATAATAACATTCTCTATTATTGCATTGGAAGTTTTCATCAACATCAAGGAATTGTGCGTGATGTTTAAAGGCAGGGTTAGGGTTATCAAATAAGTGATTGCTTTCATTTTTATATAATTTCCATCTACAGTTAAACATATATTTGAAAAAAAAAACAACACAAAAATTTGTAAATATCTATTTTGAATAACCCATGACATGTACCTATTGATTTCCTACAAAACATTCAAACAGCATGAGAAGGAGTTTATGCGGCATCAGGCTAGGATTGAACAGAGAACATTTCCCCCTCTCTACCTTCTCTGTCCTCGGTCAAAGCAAACTCTGGAACTGTAACATTGGCTGATTTGCACTTAAGGTTTAAAGCCAGCCTTTGGTCAAGGTTGTGTAAACAGTTTTGAAAGGCACAAGATTAGGTTACTTAGGTTGCATCAGAAGTCATTTGTTTTGATAAACAGCAAAATAGGACAATTCCTCACCAGCATCTTATACGCAACATTATATAGGAATAGTAATACCCTCTAATATCTCAGGATACAATGTCCAATGCAAATAACTAGACATAGTGCATTCCCTATGGTATACCAAGCTGCATAGCTCCTGTCTAACTCAAAGCAGCAAATATGTAAAACATACAAAACCCCATTTCCAGTTTATCCAGCTATATTCAAGTATTAAGATATCCATCTCCAAGTTTAAACAAGCTAAATTCTAAGCTTAACCCTCCATCTACCAAGCATAAACAACTTATTTTAGGGCAAACATTTGAATAAAATAATGTTATGCACCACCCACCGAGCCTTTTATTGCATTAGTATGTAGAAGAAGCCGCTGGTTACTGTTTGTAAAGTAATCATTTTTACAAACTTAAATACCCTCCGACTCATGTTGCGCCAAAGCCTGGGGAAGCGTTGTTCCACATGGACCCTGGAAGTGGAACCTGAGCCACATCACACAGAAAAAACAAGGTCAGAAATGTAGGTTAAAAGGGTAAAGGTAACTTATTGATTCAAGGTTCTGGATATTGCCTATTCTTCCACTGGATGGCACTAAATATCACTTTCAGCTTACTAACTAACAACTTTGTTAAATATAGAAAATTCAGTTTTGTGAATAACTTACGTGAAGTACTCAGTTTTTGGAGTTGTATTGGTGTTAAATTCTGCCACTGGGACACCCCTTGATGCAATCTGGGGCCCAAACATGGCTGCTGGGTAAACAATGGAAGATGTGCCCACCTACAGGTTAACAACAGGGAGAGAAAAACACCAGTGTCAACTTGAAATCTACTAAACAGTATAGTAATAAAATGGTACAGTCTTTTCTCAATTTTGACAAAACGTTTTTTTACCTACTAATATTACACAGGAGGCAGATATAACATGTATCCACGTAAAAAAGGATGACTCACCACCAGACAGAGATCACAGGTTTCCATCTGTTCTTCCACCTTGGTCAGGATATGAGAGTCCATGGTTTCTCCGAAAAACACCACGTTGGGTCTCAGAAGACCGCGGCAGTCTCTTTCGCCACACCTTGATACAGCAGCACCAAACAGTCCTTAGACGATTAATTGTTTTATTCCGCACAAGTCTAAATCCACACATACTTCACTAATTTCCCTGATTGTATAGCCATGCATGCAACATGCTTGATGGTTAAAATCAATGAAAAACAATGAAGCAGCGGACATGTGTTTGTTGTCATATCAAGGTTACTTTTAGTTGTCAGTGTGTAACTCTTATTATTTGCTTTTATTTTGCAATCTTTGCTAGAAAGCAAATATGTTCATAGCTCACCACTGCCCCCATGTGGAAGCCCTGGCTGCCATATCAATAACATTGGAATTTAGTTTATTCCCAGGTCACCACAAAGCATGATACAACCAAGTCATGAAGGCCAGAGAGGCAGAGAAAAATATATTTTATGCTTGGCACAGGTCACTGATGGTTTTTGTCTAAAATCACTAAGCTCAGATTAATGACGATACACATGTCCCAGTTAAACTCCACCTAAGAACAATGATCTAGTGCTTTATGTATTTATATTAGAAAGGCACTAGTCATTTAGCCTCTTATTAAGAATAGAGGCAGATTAATAAGAGGCATGATATCATAATACAAGCCATTGCGACAGGTGGTGAGGGAGATATTGCACAGAGAAAGAGCAGCAGGTCCAGCAGAAGCTCAGAAGCAGAGCAGCTGAATCTGAAAAAGATTTCTGTGCAAGAAAGGTTGCATGTTTTTCCTTTTCACTGCAACCTTTCCTTTAACATTCTTCACCTGCTCTTTATAGGCAAAGTATTTTCACATAAAACTGGAACACACACAATAAAGAAAAACTCATATCTCCTCTTGGTATTTTCAAAAGAAACCTCAAGAGGAGATATAGATAGTTTCCCTACTGCCATGCAGACTGCACCTAAGATGACAGGCATACTGTGTTTTTTAGGCTTTTCAAAAAGAAAACTCCAGCTGTAGTGTGCATTAGAAAATCAGTCGGAAAGGCTCAGTTAATCTGACCAAAGAGTTGTTAATATGAAGTGACAGTAATCCCACCTTGGTAGTTTATCCACAGGAATCTGGGCATCAGCAACATCTGCGTCAGGTGCGCTGTACAGTAAGAGAACAAACACAGTGGGGTAAATGACACATGTGGGTCAAACTGAAGAGGTCAGGCTATACATCTTGCATGTTTATCAGTGTGTGTTTACTCCAGAGGGGCTGTCTTTTACCCTTTGTCCTTTAGGGCAGCACATATGGGGCTCCGCTTGTTGACAGTCACGTGTCCACAACTCACACAGCGCGTCTCCATAAGACTGCCTGCAGTTTCACAACAAAAAAAAAACAGCTGTTTTTCATCTGGGCCCACCACAGCCATTGGAAACATCTCCTTCTCCACAGAATTTATTGACAGTAATAGTTCTGTTTTCCTGACTCAAACACAGTTAATTAAAGCAAGATTTGAGCAAAGAAGTAAAGGTTTGGTGCAGTTTTTGCCACAATCTACCCTAGAACTGTGTGGAAACAAAAGATTTTAAGTTTAAAATGAGAGAATCAGCACTTTTTCTCATCAAAAGACATTTTTTGGAGTTGGTGTACTGATATTAAATTACTGACTAACTCTGTTGGCTCATGGGATGTTTGTTTGAAAGACCAACTATGAATCACAAAATGTTTCCACAACCCAGTAAAACATGGAATATGTAATGGTGCTGTCATAGTTTCCAGTTACACTGACTATGGAGCACCTTCATGATTTACTTTAAAGGTCCCATGTCATGGCCATTTCTACTGATCATAATTCCATTGTTGAGGTCTACTAGAATAGATTTATATTGTGCAATTTTCCAAACTCACATTGGTTTCTCATACAGCATCTCTGTATAGAATGTGTATTCACTCTCTGTCCTAAACGGCTTGTTGGAGCTCCTGCCCCCCCCCCTTCCCTGTGAGCCCAGTGTGCTCTGATTGGTCAGCTCGCCCACTCTGTTCTGATGAGTCCACCACCGTTACAGCGGAACATCAGTGATTATGTGTTACAATGGCGTTTGTTAGCAACCAGAAAATGACACCAGTAATGACAAACAGATGAGAACACACAAGGGGACCGGTAATAACCGGAAAAGAATGACATGGGACCTTTAAATTAAATTGCATTTTAGCCTTACTTAGTATGTTTTTCTCAAGGTTGTAACACATTTAATGCATCGAAATAAATAGAATTAAAATATACTTTATACTTTAGTTTAATTTAGACAAAATGAGTATTCAGTGCTACAGAAAGCCACAGAATCAAGCCAAAATCAGGTCTTTAGTGAAATGCATGGTAGCTTGTAGTTCTGGCCAAACTCACCATGAATCTTGAGCACATGTTTGGACCCGGCCTGTCGGTGCAGGTCGTCGGTGCACTGGGTGATGACCACCACCGAGCGCCCCTGCTTCTTCAGCCGGGCCTCACACTCGGCTATAGCCAGATGGGCAGCACTGGGCTTCCTGTTCAAAGCCAGCTCTCTCCTGTAATGGTAAAACTCCCAGACCCGGGACGGTGTTCGAGAGAAGGCCTCTGGGGTCGCCAGGTCCTGTGCATGCATAAACAGAAGCATGTTTTAACTCAAAACTCAAATGCTAACAAGGTCAAACGTGTTGTCTTCAGAGGCAAGGATTTGACAGATAATGAAAGTCAGAGATTAGGTTTAACACCTCGATTAAAAAGGGGAGAATATCATCTTTTTTTATGAAAGACTATTTTGTATTCTTTCCTGAAGGTAAATCTACATGTAGCCCACAACATGTATCCAGATTATGCAACAAACACCATTCCTCTTGGCTGTTGCTTCCAAGATAAATCCACTGAGCTGTGAAGATGTATTATGTAAGCATTAAATACACCCACTCAACAAGTGTGAACCGCAGCTGGAAATCAGACCAAACACAAAAGTTTGACCTATATAAAAAGACAACAAAAAAATAAGTGTGTTTTGCTTTTAAGAAAATTACCTGAGATTGCCACTTCCTCCACTTCTCATGTTCTCCCCTGAAGGTTGGTACTCCACTCTCTGCACTCACACCTGCCCCTGTGATGATTGCTATGTGCTTGGCTTTGGAAAAAACCTTGCGGAATTCAGACATCTCTGGGAAAATAAAAAGAGCAGCAAGATATAAAGACTTGCTGTCTATGTGTCATGATACATATGTTCTTCATCTTACTTATAGGAGTTGGCCTAAGTATTACAATTGCTAATATTACAATAGGTTATACATATATAGGGTTTTTGGTGTCTCAACAACAGACTTTGCATAAGTGAAGAGGGGAAAGATTGATTTGAGAAAGATGTCCTGTTGGCTATGTAATTGTACAACAATGCGTCTGTACCTTGTTGCAAAACATTACTAAAAACACTGAATTCAAACATTTTTCTGAATAAAGTTTTTATGCACAGCGCTAGTCAGGAAGGATGACCTGATTGACTGATAATTAATGTTAAAGGAAGGACCAATATTCACTTGACACAGCAGCCAACAAACCTAAAACCTCATTAAACCTAACCTTTATCATTTTACCTGAGTTGGGTCTTGCTGTGTCCATCAAAGGTCCTTTCAGCACATTTGTGGAGCACATGCGAAGACCAAGGGCAATCACAGCTCGATTCTGGAGCAGCATTGTCACTGTTGTCCAAGAAGACCAGATGAACACATGAAAAACATGAAAAATAACACAAAAAACAACTTGTTGATTCATTTAAAGCATGTCCTGCAGATGTTCTCTTTATATTTCATACATTATGACTTGAGAAATATGGAACTTACATTTTCTTTAAAATCTTATTTTTTGCAGCCAAGCTTTGTTCAAACCAACAGAACATCACCGAGAATCTTAACAGACATCCCAACGTTTCCATAGATACAAAATATGTAACTTAATGCAGACAAAATATCAACATTTGCTGTAATAGTTCAGCCATAAGGTTAAAAGCTGCAATGAAGGGTAGGAAAAAGCATATTTTATATGTGATGCTGTATGTGAAAAGTTTGCAATATGTTATGAGGGTTATACTTTATATATAATGTAAATTCTGAATAATTGAGCCTATGTAGGCTATGTGCAATTGCCTCCCTTTATATAACATGGCAAAACATAATCAAAAAAAGATAAAAGATATGGCTGCAGGTATGGCTGCATTCTTGTGCTTGTGCAAGTCAGAGCAATGACACTCTTGACTTGTACCAGGCAATTGCAACACACCTACTTGTTGGTAATGATAAGACGGAATGTGCATACAAATACATTTAAAACAAATACGTTGACGGTAAAAATAAGAGACAGGTAAAGGTAAACGGCCTGCTTCGACAAACTACCAATACACACATATAAATGGGCGCGCCCTACAAGAGTGAACATTCAATTCAACTGTGTCGAAACAGGTTTTACAAGAGGCCCAGCCCTCATGTATAAAAGACTACAATTCACCACAACTCAAAGAACTGTTGCCATACTGTACATTTCCATAGTTACAGCTGCTGTCACTGTTTCAGTTTGTTGGCCATTTTTAAACGGACTTTAAACTTCTTTAAACCTTTTTCCTCCCAGCCTTTTTAACTCTCACATGCTGGGAGGAGTACGCGTACAGCTGTTTAACGTTGTATGACATGTTGCACAGTCCTTCACAAATGTACTACGTTAACAAAACGTCGAGAAGTTAGTTTGGGATATAATCCTGTCGCGCTCTTCGTCATAAAAGCAGGAACTAACATGCACATACAAACGTGTGTATTTACACCAGACTGCATAGTATTTACAGGTAGCGTTTACTACGCTGAAACAGCACTGATAACGAAACTTTAATTTACTTACCTCGCTAAATGATATTCCTACTTTTAGGAGCAGAAAGTCACGCAGTTTGCTTGTTTACCTCATGGTTTAGCTCTATCACTGCAAGTACGAGGCGCCGTAAATGTACCACACTGTCGTAAATCGCACTCTGAACAAAAAAAATGTTTCTGACAAAAATGTTTAGTTGAGGAGAGCCATCTGGTGGTGGACTGCTGTAAGTGTGATTCATTCAGGATGATTCATTCATCCCAAAATAAAAAAGAGCAGCACTTTATGCTTCACCATAGAAGTCGTATTATGTTTGTAGACTGCCTTACTGCAAATGTTTTGCTTTTTAGAAACAAAACGTATTAATGGCACGAAACTGCCTTCGTATTTGTTCTGTGTTTCACGTTTGGTTGTCATCAAATATGATACATTTATCTAAAGTGTGATGGCTAGGGTATAATAAGTGAAGCCATCTGGTGCCCTTAAAAGCCTATTTTAAATAATAGATATGCTATCTATTCACAAATTGATTGATTATTAGTGTAAAAACACTGAATTCCCTATAACAATACTGCTAATTCTGTAACTAATCATAGTAGAGCCGCAACATAAATATAGGCCTATGTCTGATTCAGTAGCTAGGCATAAAGCAAACGATTTTGTGATTAACGTTGATGACAAGACAAAATCAATGCATTTGACCTAAATGGGAGACAAAAATAATCATAATATTGGCACACACCCCTCCCAAAATATATGTGTTTTTTTTTCACTTACACCTATCCATCCCACCAACGCCCCCCTCTCTCTCTCGCTCTCTCCCTCCCTCTCTCTCTTCCCCTCTCTCTCTCTCGGTGTGTGTGGACTCCCTCCTCCCCATCACTAGCTACCTCGCAGTGTGAGTGGCCGTGGTTCTGCCTCTGCCCCAGTCGGCCGGCAGTTATCCCTGAACACTGGTTCAAATTGATGGCGACCACTCCAGACAGCAGCACAGACCGCAGACCGATCAGGAGACTCCGCTCCAAGAGCGATACCCCATATCTGGTTGAAGCCCGACTCTCCTTCAACCTGCGGACAGGTAGGCGCACATCCATCCGCCCTGTACCCATAATCTGTTTGTCAGATGTTTTACCAAATGTCTTTATGTGGGTGGACTGGGAGGAATTATCGCATTAAATACACTTTACGCGAACGACATATTACAGGCTTTTCCCTACAGGCTATAGGCTAATCTTCTAAACTGGTGTAGATTTCCTGTGATGTATAACTCCATAATTTATTAATGGAGAGCTCCAAATATTCTTGTAAGGATGGAAGGTATGTGACTGAAATGTTATGCAACTTTGTTGACTGACGCTAGTGGTTAATGACGTGTGTGTCTCCGAACACATTGAGGGGGTCCGGATTTTAAGCAGCAATGGAATAGCTGTAGAAAGCGTTCATGTGAGAATTCGTCAGCGCCTGGTAATTTCTACCAATTCAACGCAGTTACATAATAAAAAAGCTTCAACGTGACCTATAGTAGCCCAAGCTTTGGCTGTAATGCACAAAATCTGATGGCATATCCGGTTTGATCACCGCATCATTATAAACAGTTGAAATAGATCCTGCAATGATGCTCTTTGTGAATAGTGTTCTGTCACCATCACCCTTTATAAAGCGTGTTGCATCCCCTGTTACCATGGTGACTTGGCATTTTATGCTGACTGAGTCAACAGGATTCACATCTTTTGCACTACAGTGTTATTAAGATTTACATGCTGCATCCAGCTGTCTGCTTTAGAGATCTCATGGTGTTAGTCATTTAATGATCTGTAAAATGGCCGTAGCAGTCACATTCAAAATTAGCTTCTCTCTTATTAGTCCTATATATCACCAAAAGCTAAATCTTTAAATTGCTTGTTTTGTCCAACCAACAGTTACAAATGCCAAGGATTTTGAATTAAAAAAAGTATGAGCATGGGATCCAAAATCCTCCATTACTCAGAAAATATGTTCAGCAATAAGCAGGGTTTGTGTTATTTCAAGTCAGGACAGTAGTCTTAAATCTAAATTGAGGGGATAGAAATCACAGGTTCACCGGTTTAGTTACAAATGACTGCACCTTTGTCCAGTGCAAGTGCTCAGTGCCCAACAATGTAGCTGCTGTTTTGAAAGCCCCCAGGTGTGCAGCGTGATCCCAGGGGCTTCTGGAAAAGAGTGTTGGTTTGTGTTTTCCTGGTTGAATGAATGTTGAATAAAAAAGCCCCCCCAGCATGTTTATCTCTGATAAGCCTCTGTAGTGCTTTGCTGCCAGTGTGTGTTTGGTCTGTCGAAACATGTTTCTTGTCAATGGCAGGACACTGTTATGTGTCTCTATGCTCCTTTTTTATTTCAATACTCTACATTGAGCTTAGCATGCATGAGTGTGGCGAGGGGGCGATTTGTACAACAGTGCTGTTGACTCACTTCCACCTGAAGAAGAGGAGAAAGCTTTGGCTTGCTTATTGCCAAGGAAACTAAAAAGCCTAGTTGTCGGCCCATGTGCTTGATAATGATAAAGGATCAGGGCCTGCCAAGGGTGTGAAACAAGAACTGAGTTATTATCTCTGTGTAATTCTGGACCATGCAATTGCTTTGGTTTTCTCTTAATGTTTGAAGGGTAATTTGAATGGTTAAGCCTGATATTCTATTTAGATGACTGATGATGACTGCATCCAGGTTTTCATCAATCAACTACTTAACAAAAAGCAGAAATGGCACTTTAGTATACAACACAATAGTCATGACACTGCCAATGTCTGCCAGCTACAATGAGAGTTATCCAATTCGTTTTTGATGTGTGGTGAGTTTGTGTTTGCGCTGATTTGGAGATGAGTTGAAGGTTCTAAGCCAACTCGACTGTTCAGTGTTTATACAGCTGATACTTTGGTTTATTTCTTGATGCCGAAAACCAGCTCAGTAAGCCAATACATGGATCAGATTTCTATGGGGGTTCAGTTTTTACTGTGAGTTTGACTTTAGCAGACAAAAGGCCACGGCATACAAATGACAGATACTCTCTGGGCTTCTAATGGAATCAGCGAGCATGTATGAAACATTGCTTTATTGCATTGACCTGTTTAGTGTCAGCACTAATTCAATTTGCCTCACGGTTAAATGACCCTGCACAGTCACAAAGATATTATAATAACAATATAGTGGCATCAGTTACCGTGCCGATATTAAAGATTTTGTCACCTGTCATAAACATGAGGGTGTTGATGGATGGTTGACCTACTTCACAGGTTTGATTTCAGTCATTACGGCCAGTTATAAAACACACACACACAAGCACACTCATCTGGAATACAGGCTGAGAAAATACAGCTTTTTAACATACATGTTTAACTACTACATCATCATGGTTTACCCAGGGATCTTGTCTATGGATTTTTAGCCAAAAGGCACAACATTGCGTTTGTATGTCAACGTGCATGTGTTTGTGATCACAGAGCGTGCATGCATGCCTATTGGTCCCTTGTTAGTATGATGTGCACAAGCTGCCTGCTGACTTAGCATCCGTCTAAGTGAAAGAGGTTGTCTGCTTGTTGTTATTTCTCCATCATTCAGCAGCTCAACTACAGCCCCATCTGCTTTCTGTCTGCACACTTATGCTTCACACAAGAAACTCTACCAATTAAAGAAGGTTGCTCTTTTGGCTTTCCACTCACATCCTCACTCAAGAGACCAAAAATATTTGGGTTTTCTAACCTTTGCTCATCAACATACCCTTTTAACTCTCCTTCTGTCTCTGTATTAGACTCCTTCTGATACAACTGGATGCCCATACAGTCTTTGTCGGATATTTTCATATAAGAATAGATCTGACTGACTGTCTGGTACGATTACAGTTGTGTAGAACACTACAGCTACGTTGCGAATGCTCAACCTTCATGCTTTATGTTGTGATTTTAACAGGAATAGTACATGGCAGACATTTCGCTTTTTTAATTGGGCTAAATAAATACATGACAGGGACTATTTTTCGTGTAGAAGTTGCCATTTGGGACACAGCTCTCAATGTTTAACAATCATAAAGCATATAATAATCTGGACTACCACTAATACATTTTAAGATTCATTTTGTTGGTTTTCTCTATGCCCCTTGCTGCCACAACACACAGGTCAGCTCCTGCTCAGTGTCTTCCAAGGTCTGGTATGACATATGGATCATTAATCACAGCACACCTATGTACATATGTTAATTGTGATGAACAGCTGGATGCAGTGTGAAGCATAGAGACATGGGGACCCCGAAGGCTTGAGCTCCCACCATTGTACCTGTCCTGAATGCAAATAGACAAAGCTGGGGCCCAGACCTGGCTGCATTGCAGTTGTTGGAAGATATGGGGTACTTATCCTTATCCTTAAGCACAACATGCATACACTGTATTACCTTCAAACATGGATGCAGATTTAGATGCAAGGACATGTAAATATGCAAGCTTAAACACACAGTATTTGCAAGTACCTTTAGTCTCCCAATTTAAAGTTAAAATCCTGCTCTGTGTTGCAACCACATTAGGCAAAGAAAAAAGCTAAACTCAACTCATTCACCTCCCACTACTCCCTGCCTCTCTCTCTCTCTCTCTCTCTCTCTCTCTCTCTCTCTCTCTCTCTCTCTCTCTCTCTCTCTCTCTCTCTCTCTCTCTCTCTCTCTCTCTCTCTCTCTCTCTCTCTCTCTCTCTCTCTCCGCTGCTCTGTGTTGTACAGTAAGCCCTGCTGTCCAAAAGAGTACAATCAATACATACCAGATGCATGGTGGGACGGGACACATTTCTGCTGCAGAGCTCTGTGCGCCTGCAGGGTTTAGCAGAGGATTTACAGTATGTCAGAGACACAGTTTAAACAGGCATTAACTATAGCCTCTATATCAGGACATGTATGCAGATATTTTGTGTTGTGTTTCACTTATCTGTTAATCATTTTTAAATGTATTTGCATGCATACAATCACATAAGGTTTAATCCGATGATGCACTTTTTAGTTGGAATTGAAAAGGCAGCTAAAGGTGACTGCAAAGTCAAGAACGAGCAGAATTTGCAATCACCAATACAGGCTGTCAGTTCTCTTTCAAAGGGAAGGAACATTTCTGATTAAATAGCTGGGCTAGAGCCAGTGCAGAGGCTGATGAATTTGTAATGTTTTCAGATGTTTGTAGCAACACTTGGGGCTATTAGCAAAAGTGTTACACAAAGCGGTGATAATTAGTGGCAAGAGATTTACTGCATATCAGTTCTGTTTCTGCTGCTTCCAATCTATCTCTCTCTCTCTCTCTCTCTCTATGTTTTCTCCCCATCTCTTTCTCACAAGCAGGAATACACACAAAAAGCACATGGCTGACATTTCAAACCCTCCTATGGTATACCAAAGGCCCTGCATCCCAAAAAAAACAAACGAGTATCCATCTTCCCTACTTGCTTGTAAATAGGCCTTCTTGTGAAGCATCCCGGGTCTGAATAAAACATGAGTGGGAAAATCAGAGCAGAAATAGCTATGCTATAAGCAGGATCCTTACTGGATGCTTGTGCTGCATAAGTTCAATCAAGCATCAATGTCGCCTGGCCAGAAATCTGCCAACCTCTGCAGCTCAGTGTTTTAAAGTAAACGACAGGCAGGTGTCTTCTGAGAGCCTGCAGAAAGCTTCATCCTCAGAATCTCTCTCTCTCTCTCTCTCGCTGCTTTCCTTTCATCTCTGTCTCTTTCTCTCGCCTTTTCCAACACTTGGAAGTGTGCAAAAGGCTCCTGGCTGTGATATGCTTTCCACAAGCCAGCTGAGAAATTACGCCTCTTTCAAAAGCCTCCCAAGCTGAAGAAAGTGGCATGATGATGTTCTTATGGGTCATATTTATAGTAAGAGTGGTGGCAGATCAGGCAGAGAGGGGCAAAGATACCACTGCAATCTGAAAGGCAGCCTCGCCAAAAACCAATTACACTGGAGGAGAGAGCTACGCCTGAACCCTTATAACTCTCTAATGCTGGTTTTCAGAATTTAAAGCAACATGCAATGCATTCTGTTTGAGACAAGGGAATAAAGGAGGCAGTATGTTGTCAGAT